AAGTTGAAATAAAATAAAGTTTTCATAAATGGAGCACCAAAAAGCGCAAAAGTTTCTTCACGATCTAATATGTATAATGATCACACCATAGCTCCAATTTCAGTCCGCTCAAAAAATTAAATTCGATTCTGGATCTGAATCTGCTACTCTTCAGAAATCTTTTAGATGAAATGAGCCTGCCACGATCAGTTTTTCTAATACTAGTGAGCTTATTATATGAAATAATCGTATCAAGAGCGGAGGGAGATTAAAACAGCATCCCCAGCAGAAGTCTTGTCGAAGAACCTATTCAGTGTGTAGATAGAGTAGCCCACGAGTACCACAGATGTGCCGTTGTCGCGGCTCGAAAGTGCACAATGGCGCCAGGGTCTTACAAAGTCAGCATTTGGCGACTAATCTTAGCATTTGGACGAGCTACAGCTCACTTCCGACGACGAGCAATGTGGATGACGGTGCAGTGGCTAATTCAGATACGTGTGGGACAATCAAGCCGTGAAGCAAGCTAGTCAGTACAACTCGTCCGGCCCCACCACATCTTCATTTCACGTGTGATCTTTGTTCGAGGTTTCATCGACGGTTTTCTTTGCTTCTTTTTCATTTTTGTTCAAATCAGCAGCCACTTCATCAATAAGCGCTGTTACCCCACAAGTTCGATCTGGGGGTGTTGCTTTGGAAAATTTCGTTTGGCCGACTAGGAAGGTCATCAGATCTGTCCGGCCTTTCGGAATGAAATATACACCGATGCATTCGTCTAGAGACGCCGAGCTCAAAACTTTCTTCCATTTAGAATGGAGTTCGAGGGACTCATAAAATGTAATTAAAGTGACGATATCTAATCAAAGAATAGTTGTGGGAGGGCACGCATACCTAACCGTACAAAATCGAGTACCTGAGAGGCCCATTATTCGAGGGGTTGCATGGCGATCGCAAAATGATCTGTATAAATGAAGAGTCTGTAAAGAAGCGGCCGCTCGCACTGTAGAACAATATGACAAGGATAACCAGTGTAACGTAACGGTCGTAGGCCACCGTCTCAATGAAAGATATGATGACTGTGTTTGATATAAGATGTGAGTAAGGTATGGAATGCCATTCCACAACTCCACTTCGATTAGATAAGAGTGTCCCTCTTCAATCCCAAACTACATTTTCATTTAATTAGTTTCTGAAGAAAGCTATGAAACGCGTGGCAGCAGTGTGGGCTCACAAGCAGGAGATTAAATTCAAATTGACCCCATCCTGAATTTGCTAATCGTCTTTTCTGCAACATAGCTACAAAGACTTGCGACATCATTGTTGCACCAATGCTTGTCCGAATACTGTTGGGTGAAAATTTCGAGAGAGCACTTTGATAAGAATAGCATGCAAACGAAGCGGAAGGGAGCCTCCATGTCCCCGGTTAAAACTCTATTCTACACTACACTACACTCTACTCTACACTTTATTGGATTTTGGAAACAGTTCTCAGCTCATCACTTCTGAGTTGATTACAATGATGTTATGTGCCTAGTATACAAGTCGCAGACTCTAAATTTGCGACCACTGAAATTGTTCATAACTTGAAGGACCGCAGATTTTGTACGAGGAGTCTTATTGACACCGTGTCGATCACGAAGCCAACTCCTAGACAGAAGGTATCTTGCCGGAGCTCTTAGTGTTCCTCTTTGAAGAGAGTGTCCAATTACTGGCAAACATTTGAAAATGGTGTAGAAGTATTAAAGTCAACTGCGCTTCTTCATTATTGAGCATCCTACTCGATTCTACGCAGACACACATCGAGACTGTAAGCCCTGTGTAACGAACCTGGACAGATGCATCAACACTCCACACTCACTATAAGCTCATTCGTCAGGAGGATGTTTCCAGCTGCTTTGCTCTTCTTGACTCCACTGCCCTTCTGTGTGGAGAAGTAAACCTAACAAAAACTTATGCATACTGCACAATTATTCACTTTGGTAGTCAATTTCGTTGACAGTCACTGACAGGTTTGAAAGGCGCCCCCTCCGAAAATCGGTGGCCCTACTCAGATCATTTCTTGCATTTATTATCGGAACGAAATTCAAATGGAACCTAAAAATGCCCTACTTGTCCTCTTAACTTTAGCTGTACGATAGTCACAATATCGATGACGGTAAATATAGCTATTAAACTGCCATTATAGTAGAGGTCGATGTCAAAGAGAGCTTCACCACATCGCCCCGTACTCCATATCCACATAGAAGCCGCGTGGTCGTAAAAGAAGTTGCAGCCATCTGGAAGCATACGAGACTTGCATGTGAAGTGTGAACAAATTTGATTTTGAACAACGATTTGTTACCTATGAAGAGAACAATCGTCCAGAGCACATAAACTACAGAAATAAAGGCAAAGATTCCGTACGTGGCTTTCTTCGTGAAAATACCGCTATAATGCAATGGGAATGTTATCGCCGTGAACCTTAATGTTAATGATTGTTAGCCAGACGGCTTTGAACACAAAGTTCAGAATGTGTGTCTTGGAGCAACTTCGAGTGAATGAGCCATCCTTTACCATGACCACCGCGGTTGTGCCTCTTAGTCTGTTTCAATTTTGTCTCGTGTTTATTTATGTTAGTGGTTAGTGCGAAAATGCGTGACGCTGAGCATAGTGTGCATGGCTACGCCCATACAACATATTGACGAATGGGTTCAGTCACGCTGGAACATGCTTCAGCTCAACTCGAATCAGTTTTTAATACAGCAAACTTTAAAATCAGGTGATACGAGAGAAATATCCAACAAAACCCTGAAAGCCATTCAGCACCAATCAGTTCTACAATATTTGGTAAGCGCCACGCGATCTAATTCCAGTGAGAATCCGGAGATACGCGCAGATTCTAAATGATTCAGGTTTTCTTAACTACGCGACAACGCTGGCATCCAATTCGTCGACCCCGAGAGATGAGAGGTATGGCCACTTGTACGGTGCACGATAAATCAGCCGAGTCCTCGACCAAGTGACATTACTTCCCACTACACTCCCTCCGTCTTTTACCTGTTCAAAGAAATGAATAAAATGCAGAGAATCGTAGCTTCGAAGAGGGCAAAGGAAAGCTGACCCATTCGGTTGATCTTCGTATAGCATACCATCAGGAATTCTCCCTAAACATGAATTGATGTGATTCTGGGGAGCAATGTAGACTGCGATTAAAGTGTACATAAAATATTTATGACAGAGCGGCCTCTATGTATGCTGATATTTGCAAACCACGTAGGACATTCTGGCATTTATGTATACCGTACCAAAAACGTTCATTTTTCTCGTGCAAGGCCTACTACTTTCCAAGTTTCTCGTATCCATTCTGTAGACCATGAATTAGTATAATTACAGGGTGGCCCAAAGTTACTTGATTCATTGCAGTTCTCTTGAACTGTCGAACACAGAAAGATAATGGAAACTCAACATAATTATACTCACATCGTACACATCAACAGGCAACAGGCAGATTTCACCAGTAGCAATACTTTTTGTCTGATTCGCACGTTTTACGCAGGTTTTCCTCATCCATTTCTTATCAAGCTTCTTTTGATGTTGCTTGCAATGATTATAGATTCGTATGACGAGCTCAACATGCTTTGCTCTTAATCATGGATCACATTGAAGGCTCAAGTGGTCAAGATTATGCGAGCAAGAAAGCCATTCCTTGTGGCGACGAAGTCGGGCAACCTGCAGCTACTCGCATGTGTCCTGAACAAGCTGGTCCCCTAGGCTTTCGTTCCACCACTGGCCGAACTTACCCCCAAATCGTTACTGATGCCTGGTTAGCCGTTATTCCAACAGTCTTTCCTCGTGAGATGGCTCCTGATCCTTCTAGCTAGAAGCCGTAGATTCAACCCCGGCTCCACAGCAAATATTCTCGTCAGAAAAAAACGATCGAAATGTTGCATGTTGCCTGTAAAGCGGGCCAGTAACCTCTCAACTTTTTGGCTACCCTGCTGCTTGTCGCTGTACAGGAAAAGTGGCACTTTTGCCTGTGGTAGGATCGGCAGTGCAGCTTCTTCTTGACAATGCGCCCCATCGATTACTTTCACAGATTCGGTGGACACACCATCCTTCTCATGAAGCAACCGTGGACTGCCAACCAAACATTTTGGTCATGCTCACCATTCTTCACTATCTAGGCTTGTTGGTGAGTGTTCTTATTTTCCTGCATCGTTTGATGGTCAGTTAGCACAGCCTTGACAGGAACCACAAGAAATCTATTTATTAATGACATACGATACAGCCTCTTACTCGCTCATGCGAATGATGACGGTTCACGGCGGGCCCACCTGGTGTCATCTCAGAGATGCTTCACCCCAATAACGATGCATTTCACATTAGAACACCAAAACACAACTATTCAATAGTGCGCGAAATGATAACAATCGATACCTTTCTTAATAATTTTTGATTTTGGCGCAAGTAATTTCGGCAGGCCTGTAAAAATGACGCGGTTCATAGAACGCTGAAATATGCCTTACTTTGTTAGATGTTTCTCAGGCCTTACGAAAATGTCAGTTCACTCCTCAGTTTCTTTTTATTGACATAGCCTTGTAAATATATACACTGCGACGCATAATTATATTTGGTTCCACACACAAATTTCCCAAAAACTTGCATCTAGGGTTCTTTTTGAAAGTTTTTTTCTACCGACAAATTGTGACACATATGAACGCGAATCTGAATATTAACAGGAAATCCAGTTCAGGAAAGCGACAATTTTTGACATCGGAAAACTGCAATTTTTTATCCTCATTTTTTCAAAAATACCCGCTTTGCCTATGACGCTTAATCATAGTTCCAGTCATAAATCATAGTTCCTCATGTTTCTCCTGCTTTGTTTTAACCCCATCATTTCGCTGCATTTTGCTTTTACCCAATCAAATTTTAAATTATTACCCATTTAAGTTATAGCAAAGGCAAAACCGCTGTCAGACTTCCGTAAAAGGAAAATCCTAGCAAAAGAGACGCAGGAATTGTCGAAGTGTCAGCTCACGCTGGAATTTGTCGGGGTGACTTCATAACGAACAAATTTCTCAAGGATGCTACAGGATATGATTCTGGGAAGGAACCCTGATTACTATCCGACCGAGATAAGCGCCGTATCGTGAGAAAATAATACGACTTTATCCAGCCGGGTACGGAAATCAAAACTTCTTCAAAAGTTAGTGTCTCAATGGACGTAGTTTTACGTGTTCTACAACAGGGGCGACTGCACGGCCCAGGATTTGATCCCCTGACCGCTCGCTGATAAGCGTGCCACTTGCCACTACCCCACTTCCGCCCTTGAATGGGTAAGACTTTCAAAATTTGTCAAAATTTGATCGGGTAAAAGCAAAATGCAGCGGTATGAGGCATATTTATAATGAAGTTATAGATCACGAGCAGAGTCAAAAACGTTATCGGAGCAACTTGATGCTCTTGGATTTTTCCTGGTTTGGTTTTTCCGAAGCTATAATGACAGTGTGTGTAGGGTGGACGTCAAACCTGCTCTCCACCCACACTGCCCTTTGAGCATGGAAATTAAGAGCATCCAAGAAGTCAAAAAAATGAATTCATAAAAAGGAGGCTTTTGCAGTGGGCACCATCAATCTATTTTTTTCGCACACATTATTGCAACGTTGCAGCACTTTGTTTTGCGCAGTTGATTTTTTTTCTGAAAGTTGTTCCTCCCTTTTAGTTTTAGCTAAGCAGCTAACCTTTCCGCCGTTGCATAGCAATCTTTGAACGGATGAAAAAATGCTTGGTTTAGAAGTATACCTTTGAGGAGTGCTCCTTTGTTCCTTTTTCGTCGCCTCCGCTTCCTCTCACTTCCCCGCATTTTTATTGTCTTACCAAATAGTGCACGGAACTGTCCATACTGCACAGATGACCAGAATGAAGGCGTTTGTTATAGCGTAGCAAGCCGCAAGGAGCCCAAACGAGTTTTTAAATACATTATGTCGAATCATTACAAAAAATGAAAGGAGATTGGAAGCGATTCCAATAGTAGATAACTGAAATGATCTCTGTACAATATAAAAAAAACACTTATGTCTGTTTGTGTTAACATATACCCGTATATCTTCACAAGTTCGCTCGTTTTCTGTTTCGAAGCTAGTGGTGTAACTGTTCTACTGACGTTATTTTGGACCACTGACGGTAGTAGAGTGGACTAAAGAGCCTACCTATAGGCGGCCAAGACCTCACATTGACTTCGCATCGGTACGCTCTTGGAAAGGGAAGCTCACGTTGATCATACATAGATGGCGGGCGAGTTCTACGCCGCACAACTGGCCAGGACAGTTCTACGCCACACAACTGGCCAGTCAAAGGTGACCTAGAGCATAGACGGAGAACCCTGCAGGAAAACGGAAGAAAAAACAATGGGACAGCTAGAGATTTGTACTCCAGAGGACATTTCAGTCTCCTTGAACGCGACTCTCTGCGTCTTCGCCGTACTTCTTCAATTCCTAGCAGTGCAGAGCGGTGGGAAAGGAGAATAGGTGATAGGTGGGGAGAGTACTGGTGGCGAGAGCGCCACTGGAGCTATCGATAAGATTGATAACTTTCTGCCAATGAGGCAGAAATATCAATATTATCAAGAGCTCTGGCTGTCCCTTTCTGTGTTCCACTTCTTGATCGTGTTGTAGCTCAACCATTGGTCATGGGAGCATTTGTCTTCTGTGCAATCGTTTTGGCCATGATCTCGCGGCTTGGACTAGTGCGTTATCCCACGGATAATATCGAATTTGACTTAGGAAGTTCTCTACTTACAGCATTTCACATAGCCCCCTATACTCTACAATATGAATCTGATCTCGCCCGATCTGAACAAGACGATGGTCTCGCTTCCGCAGTCCCAATCCATGGGTTAGATGTTAGTTTTGCGAATGGGATGTCCAATCGGCAGAAATCAGCCAAACCAGCAAGCAACTCCAATTCTTCAGGATAAATCAATGTTGTCCTCTGAATTATGGTTATCCGACCTCTCCCAAAATTCATATGGTTCTCGAAATGTCGTTTTTCCGCTTGAGAACTCAATGGTCGTCTAACGTTGCCCGTCGAAACTGAACCCGGTGATATCCACAGACGAGACATTAAAAATTGTTGAAACCTTCAAAAGAAGTCACGGCTAAAAATGGGTGCGCACACTGAATGATTTGGACCTCTTCTCGTGCTTACTTGCAGTTCCTCCCGCGCTGGAGAGCAAACCGAGCGACGGATTCTTCCACTGTTCCCGTCTTGTGCAATCATTTCTCCTTCATTCCTAGAAACATTCATGATCTTGAAATCATTCTCGAACGTTCGTCTCCACGTGTTTCTGGGACGGCCTCTTCCTCGCTTGGCGCCTGGTATTATCCAATTCATACCAATCTTGGAGTTCGTTGTTAAGGCATGCGCAAAATTTGGCCAAGCAGTCGAAGCCCACGCTATTACACAATCACGTAGAGGCCATTCGAGCCTGCAACGACGTAAAACTTTCCCAGCAAAGACATGGTCCGTTTAGCGTATTTTCATAATCCGGCGCAGCATCTCTGGTGAAAGGCGTTCATCCTCTTGATGAGATTGGCAGTACTTTAACATGTTTCGCGTGCATGCAGTGCAGCTGGAATCACGATGGGATAGTACAACCGCATTTTGATGTTCTGCGATATTGATGACTTGACCTATGTCGGCTGAAGTAGCCAAATACTACCGAGCTTTCGCTTTGCTGTTCACCACTGTGACCGTACTTCCGAAGGAAGTGAAATTGTCACCGCAACAACTCAATTGTACCCATTAGAGGTAGAAATAGCAGGCTTCTCTCAAGCGGAGGAGAACAGAATGAGAGATGTCTTTTTCCGAGATAATCTCAATCAGCCCAGCCCGCCGAGAGTTTACCGGTTCTCAAACGCGGAATCGGTCGCAGAGCCTGAGATCAATACTGGTTGCATAACGAGAGAAGAGGTAGTTGCAGCAATTTAGCACCCCCAAAAGAAGAAATCTTCTGGTTTGGAGGAATTTAGAGCGGAGTTATTGAAGGCGGGACGCAGTGCAATGGAGAATGGGCTCGTAGAGCAAATTGATCGTTGCTGGAGCCTGAGAAGAAGTACAGGAAACTGGAGAAGAGGCGTCATTGTCAAGCTGTCTAAAAGGGAAACTAGTATAGAAGCATTGCACTGCCGGGCAAAACTTCCTGTGTGGTTTTGCTTCGGCAACTCCGCACCGCTATCGATGCGAATGGATTGCGAGAGGAACAAGTTGAGGAAAGGAAGGCCATGTTGCGAACAACTCTTCACTCTCCTCAAAAACTGACTGTGTCGAGTACTGTCAGCCACTTCTCATCGACTTTGTCTACTTAAAGGAATCCTTCGCGGAAAAATCATGATTCTATTTCAGCCATAAATCACTGGCTTGAGACTCATTATCCACGATAAGAATGAAAAGAACAGAAATATTGCTTTTGTTTTGGTAAAAAAAAAATTCGAAAAATCGAAAGGGCTGCTACGCGTTCAAAGTGCCCACGGACGTCTTTCACAAATGCTGGCGACGGGGATGCTTCCACTTGGTTCTTGGAGTGCCTTCACTAGAAACTCTTTCTGGCCTTCTGCTTTATTGCATTCACATCTTACACTTCTACTCCATCCTATTCTATCGATCGATTTGTCTCTACTCTCCGAAATCGCGCGCTTTAACCCGATTCTTTCATTGCGTCGCCTGATACGTAGCCGGCCAAAGGCCAACTTCTTTCCATGCCTCGTTTGGCTCCGCCCGAATTACCTTCGATGTCCATAACGTGTAGTTTTTGTACGTTTGTTTCTCTTCGGAAACCGAATCTTCATGCGTGAAACTTTGCCTGCTGTACGTGTCAAGAAAGTATGCAAGAATTTTCCGCGAAGGCTTCCTTTAAAGAAGCCTTCGATAGCATTCATCGCGAATCGTTGTGGGTAAAATTCAGATCATATGGTGTACCGCAACCCTTTACAGTAAATTCTTGCTCTGTGAGGACATAAACAGGAAACAATTCTTCTTCAGATGGCTGCGGGAATGGGGCAAGGATGTATTCTATCCCAATCCTGTTTGATATCTGCCAGAGCTTCTTCATGAGGAAAACGATGGGGCAAGTAAGGGCAAACATCAGTTATTCCGGTCAAAGAAGACTTGGATTGGGTTTCAACTAACGATGTAGCACTTCTTGCTAAAGGCGAGAATAAATTTAGCAGGTTGCTATTGCCTTAGCTGCGAAGTGAACATGATTGGATTAAGTGCCCACAAATCGAACGTCATGAAAGTCGGTGCTGCTCGAATGCAGTTGAACATCATCTTCTTAGTAGGAAATTAGTTTTGGTGTAATATCTTCTCGTTGTATGGGTACAGACGTTGCCATTTCACTGTATGTCTGTGAATTCTTTTCGTCAACTCCGCCTCTGGGTTTTTAGACTTGCTTCGTTCATTCTGCTTTTTTGTACTCCATTAGATAAATTCTTTCAAGTGTGTTACAAAACAGAAACAAATAAAGAAAGTAAGTCCTGCTCATATCTTCTTCCAAGTAAAACTAACATTCTTGGTTCTGTAATATCCCCCTATTCCGTTTGCTTATTACTGAGCATCCACTTGGGCGTACGTGTGCTAACAGCTTTATTAGTATAATAGCACAATAGCAGGGACAGTTCAATATTGCAAAAACGGACTTTCCCTTTTATTGCTTATATTTTCCTTGTTGGAGCCATATCTTACTGACAACAACGAACAGCGTCAAAAAAGCGTCATCGACTCACCACCAATAAAAGGGTAGCTTCAATAATAGATACATAAATAGACCCTTTTGTCGCTGTAGAGCTTTCATCAGCCATCAGAAAGCGTCTTTAAATCTTTTTCAAGATAACGAGCAGAGTAACGAGAGCAGCAGAGCAACTTTGAGAGGTGAAGGAAAAATGAGAAGTTGACTTGGTTGAGGGCGTTGTTGCTCAGAAAGCTATACTATGAGAAAACATTTTTTCAGGGAAGGCTCATTTGTTGTTGACTGCCAGCCAACGATTTGCGAGAATCGTTTATATGAAAAAGCTACGTAGCTACAATCATCGTCATTATACTATTAGTAATTGCTTGCGTATATTTTGACTAAAATTTTGTATTTCCTATTCCTGGATTGAGTGCTCGTATCACCACATATTTGTTGATCGAAGGCAATATTCTTCATTTGATGACGGCTCTACGGGACTCCACAAAGACTGCCGTTTTCCTTCAAAAGGCAAATACGAACACTGACCACACAGAAATAACAAATACAATGTTCAATCAGAATACACCACAAAACAAACAACTACAAGCTTATTTACCACAAAACAAGGAGGCAATAACACAAATTGAATGGATTGTATCTTCATGGCCTACAAATCCTATGTTTGCATTTATATATTGCAGCATCTCTGAACGAAAACTCTTGTAGCCATAAACACTGTACAGTAAGGCAAATAGCTGTATTTTTCGCTCTGGCATCTTATATTTGAGCAAACCCTAATCGGAAGACAGCAGAGAAGTAATCACAAGCGCTCCCGCCCCGATATGTTGGCTTGATGCGAAACACAAATTAAGAAACACGTCCCAAGACATTGTAACAATCTCAGAATTACCGCCATTACTATACAAATAAATATCCCAGCGCTTCTCTTGCAAATCACATCGCAACTGCTGAGTAACCAACTTTGAGCATTCGCCTTCTTCGAATGACGCCGCGACTTCAATGCCTGTTCTGTTGCCTCCAGGACCAACACTTCACTTCGAGAGGACTACGTAAGCCACGCGACTGTTGTTGTCATGGAGGATCCAGCCTTCAGCTCGTCACCAGATTCTACAGAAACTCCTTTTGGTTGAGGGTGAGGAGGAGCGACTGGCTGATTGAGACGAGCGCAAGAACTTTTATGTAACTATGCTCATGAAGACGCCCATCGCATAGTCGATTACTTGCTTGATTTCATTCTGAATATGCGACGCTCGACGACGTTACTCCCTACGGACGACCAGTTGCCGTCTATGATGCCCGATTTCTTAGCGATTTGAAATTAAGCCAGAGGCTGCCAGCAGAGACTAGGGTTTCTCGAGTGCGATAAGAGTGAGCGAAGGGCGTCTTCATGAGCATGATTACACAGAAGTTCTTGCGCTCGTCTCAATCAGCCAGTCGCTCCTCTCACCCTCAACCAAAAGACTTTCTCTATAAGGATCTGTGGCCGAGCTGAAAGCTGGTTCCTGCCATGACAGAACATAAGCGGCGCTGTCGCTTCTCCCGAAAGAAGATGATCCGCCCGTGTTCAGCTTAAGAGCCAGAATCAGAAACACAACAAGACATCTACAGCGCCACTTCAGCCCAAGATCTCAGCTCCAGCAATGAAGAAAAGATCGAGAAGAGATTCTCTATTGTCATGATAAAAAGTTCGATCCAAAACACGACCCGGTACGCGCCCGGCGTCCCCGAATGAGTGCGTCCTTATATGTAAACAGCACTAAGCCCGACGCCCGTGACGGCTTTAATGCGTTGACCGTTTGACAAGAATGATGCAGGAACTAACCGTCATATAAAACACATGCTCGTACTGCCCGCCATCTCTGACCTCCGGTCTTCGCCAGTCCCATTAATCAATCACAGTCCAGCTCTCCCACGCCTGCGCCAGTTTTATCTGCAATCTATTCTCCGACTGTACTTTATCGTCCAATTACGTTATTTACTTCTATGTACTATTTACTTCTGTAACCGCTTAGAGTAAAACAGGGCACACACACCACACAAACTTTTGACTTTTTGGCCAAGCCGAATTCAGCGGTCACATTGGGCTCTTCATTTTGCAGCTTCTCTAACGGCTCCTTCTCGGGTTTCGCTAATATAACGATCTCTGACGGCTCTGAAAAAGAGTGTCAGATGCCGATCAGCGGTGCCGGTAGTAATTGCTGTCGTTGATACCGTGGTATTTGGCCTTCGGACGTGACACTGTAAAGTGCCGTCGAAGTAGCCAGTTGTGTTGGACGTCAAAAAAAGGCCAAGACACACACACAGCGCTTCGATATTGTCGTAATATTCGCGAAATGTCTCGTGAAATGCAAAATAAGCCCAACACCATTCTTGA